CTTGTGAAAGCATTAATAATATTTGGATTAGTTTGTTGTGGTGTTTATTGAGGACATTATGAGTTAATCTAAGTCACAATAATGGAATGTTGAACATTGTGATTTGAATTACAATGTTGAAAGGGAAGAAACTTTATGCTAAGTTGTCAAGGTGTAGATCATGGTTTTAAAAGGTGAGTTTTCTTGAGCATGCTATTTCGGGTGATGGTATTTGGGGATCCATCCCAAGTAGATGCAGTTCTATATTTAGAGACTCCCAAGTCGGTTACAAAGACAAGAAGCTTCTTGGGCTTAACTAGTTATTATCACAACTTGTTTGAGACGAGGTCAAGCACGAAATGTTGTAAACGAAAGAATTGAGGGAATGAGATGTTTGGTACTAGGAAAGATGTGAAGATATTGGAGAAGCACGTGAAGATGCAACTTATGCTGAATAAGAATGATTAAAGTGACAAATATTAATTGGACCATGGTGTTGTAGATAAATTTGAGTATAAGTTCTAAATAAAATGCTATTATAGTTTAGTAATTATGGTTTATGCGCCATCATGGTTGTCGGCTACCTATTGACAAATTGAGGAACTGATCACCCTTAATCTCTTGTTGATAGTAGACGGGATCGTGTTGGGGGATAAAATTATCTTATTAGCTTAATGGTGTGTAAAGTATTTGACGTTCTATCAAGAGGATATCCGCTCATCATTTTGGGTGAACCTAATGAATAAGTGATTGTGAAAGAATTGGGACTTATTGAGCAGTTCGGAGACTTGAGGTTGTATGCAAGCTAACGTTGCAAAGTGGAAAGTTGAGGTTATCAAAAGTGAACAATGATTTTATAGTGGGTATTAAAGAGAGTCAGAAAATTACATGTGAAACTTGTGGATCTGATGGTTGATGGAAATTGAAATGAGGACAATTACTTTAAGATAGATAATCAGAGTAGTGCAGCTGAACCATGATGTGGTGCAGTTCGTTATGTGGGTGTGACTTGTTATGAGTTAAGGGTTAAACATCGGAAGCCTACGGGAATGATGTAAACCATTGGGCAATCCAGAATGGAAGTGGTAAGTGAGAGGTTTATATATTATTCGAGTCATCGCCATGTCAATAGATGTATCGAGTTACGAGTTCAATTGATAAATTGTAGCATTGTTGTACTAATGTTGTGTGCCAATGTTGGCAATGTTATGGTTATGTTAATGTTCTTATGACGGTGTTGTTGTGTGATGAAATGATAGAGATGATGTTATTGTCCTGAAACTCTATGTTCTTAAATTATGTTGTTACCTTATTGTCGGGGGTTGGAGTTCGAGTAGCTCATGTTCAAGAGTGAACGAGATCCTAAGATGATGGGACAACGAGTGAACAAACCTATGCGTTCATAACTCGGTAGTGTTGCATCTTTTTAGATTATTGTGGTTAACAACATGGAGTGTTGATTAGAGATGATTGAAATATTGTCAAACATGATGCGAGAGTTTGAATGAAGACGTGAGAGTCGTATCAAGAGTTGTGTACATCAAGTAAGTTTTCGAGGACGAAAATCATTTAAGTGGGGGAGAGTTGTAACACCCTGAAAATCATGATCAATTATTTATTTAGTTATTTGGGAATTATTATGATTTATATCATGCACCACGATGTTTGATGATGGTATATTGTGGGATAGTGTTGGAATAATAATATATGAGGAGTATTTGATTAGTTTATAATTATTTAGAATTTAAATAATTATTTGGGATTTATTGGATTTAATAATAATATTTAGATTTATTATAAAGGAAATTATGGTGTAGAAACAAGAAGAGCTAAATGGTAAAGTAATATGGAATAAGTGAGGACATGAAAGGAAGACCAATATTAGGGGTCCAAAGGTTAAGTTTGGTATAAGGAAGGTTTGAGAATTTTGATCGTTCATTTCGTATGATAGTTTTTGGGAGAAAGAGGCAGAGGCCGAGCTAGGGCACAAAGTGACAAGAAGGAGCATAGGAGTTTCGGTAGAGAACAAAGAGGATTCGATTTCTAGAAACAATTTCTAAGGTAAGGGGTTTAATCACTTTTATTATGATTGATATCGGATTAAGGTGTGATAGGTCTGTGTTATGTGTGTTGAATTTGATAAGGATTGATGAAATTGGGGAAAAAAACCATATGCTGAATGAATGAATGAATCCTTGATAGATGTATGATGTTAGGACCGTAAAATAATTGTTATAGGCTGTTAAGAATTTTATATAATCATTTCGAATTTTGAAACCAGGACTTTTTACGGAATCTAATTCGGAGGTCCGGAAGGCCTCCAACCATGGAAAATCGCAGAAGGATAAGTGTTATCTAGTTAGCATCGCCGGGCGATACAAATGCGACGTAAAGACAATGCAAGTTTTTTCGGGCGATGCAAAGGCTGCGTCGGGCGACGAATGGTAGAAGCGATGCAGCAGAAAACTTCAAAACACTGTAACTTAAGTTCCAGGAGTCCGTTTGATGCACCGCTCGAAGTGTTGGAAACCTAGCGTGATGAAATATACTATGACTAAATTATATGAGTGCTTTAATGCATGATTACAATACCTATATGTTTATAAGATATATTTGTTATATGTTATTATACTACGTATGTGCTGTTTTGATGATAAACATGATGATTATGATGAAATTGGTGCTAAATTGATGTTATAATGCTGAGGAATGATGTATGTGATGTTTGCTATATTGTGCTATTGTAATGTTGTGAAATCATGATGTTTGGATGAGTTTTAGGGTTTTCTTTGATGTGAAGTCACAAGAAGACTTAGGATTGAACAGTGCAGGGATCACAATAGAAAGTTGCCATCTGGTGTGCATCATCGGTGGACGGAGGTGGTGTCGTCGGGCGATGAAGCTTTTCTATGATATCGCCAGGAGAGCTTGGAGGAGATGAAGGGCAGAAAAGAGGATTTCTACTGGAGTGCTTCGCTCGCACTTTCGTCGGGCGATGCAGAAGCGATGAACTTTTGTTGGGCGAGAAAGAGGCTTCGCTGGGCGACGATCTCCAGATTTGATTGGTTGTGTCAGATGTTCTTAAAAGAGCCATAACGGGAGATTTATAACTCGGATTGAGATACTATTCGAAGCCTAGGGTAGCTAATGCAACTGACTTTAGTTAGATGGACTAAAATGAGATAAAATAAGTATTTCCCAAATAACTAAGTTAGGATGGAGTTAGGTTCCCCGTGTTGAATTACACTAACGCTTGTTGGTTATGATGATATTATTATGATGTTTGTTTATTTAAGACGATATAATGATGATACCTTATATAATATTAGGACATGATGATGAGTTGTGTCTTATGATGATGCTTAGATACTATGATGATTAGTTGATGATATGTTGATATTGATGTTATGATGATGATGATGATGAACTGTTTATCATGATATTGTTTTACTTACGATGAAGTTATGAGGTGTTGTTGATTACTATGATGGTAATGATGTTGGTGGCCTGAATTGACACATTGTTGAAGGCTCATTCCTTGTGGTTGTTTAATTTATGTTGTTGCATGTTAATATTTCATTCATATCATTGGTGAGGGCTTATGCCCTGTTGTTGGCCTGTAATGGCATTGTGATGAGGGCTTATGCCCTGTTATTTCCCAAATTGGCGTATGTGATAAGGGCTTATGCCCTGTTGGTACCATATGCATTTAGTTGTTATCGGTTGCATTATGTTGCACTGCCTTGATTTGATGTCGTGCTTAATGAGTTAAGACTTTGTTTCGATGATTTGTGATGAAGATGTGCATATGTTAGTATGATATAAATGTGTGAGTATAATACTTGGTAAATGATAATGTACAAATTTCATGATTGATGATTGTTTATAACTACTATATCTTTTCCTTATATCTTTTATAATGATTATGATTACTCACCCTTTCTGCTTGAATGTTGCCTCCACGTGTGTAACGCACAGGTGATCGATAATAGTTTGTAGAAGCTGGGGATAATTATGGAGTATTTATTTAGTTCAATTTAATATAAGGTGTCTTGCTCTGATATGTAACATCGGATTGGGAAACATTTGACTTATATATTGTGTTCCTTTTGTTGACAGAATAAAATAAGTAGTTCTGGTTGTTTTAAGTTATTGGAATATCATGACTATGAATGGTGTAAATTTGATGATGGTTTGAAAGATATTATAAATAAAGTTATGTTGTGGGATTCTTTATCAAATAAAGGTTGATTTTTGTTTCTCCTGAGAATTGGATTTTGAAGTTAGGGTTTTGAGGGTTTCACCAAGATATTTCGGCTGAGATTGTTTGAATTAGGCTTTTGTCCCTCTATCTTTATGGGACCCTTTCTTCATAATTTGGGTTTGAGTTTGATTGATATCTTTCATCAACTACTTGCAATATAAGTCATTTAACTGGAATTCTTATCAAGGGCTGAAATAGAGAGAAGAATATTCTTCTATGGTTCATGGGTCAAGATACACTCTCTTATGCTTGCATTCATCCATTTTGATTAGGGCTTCTACCAAGATCATCACTTAACACACATCATGAATAAGGTTTCATTGAATGTTCTTATGATAAGAGCCTGCGTCTATTTGATGGAGTTACAAGACATTGGTCAAGACATGAGACATGAATTCAAGGATACTTTCTCCAATCAACCGTTGCTTGAGATACAAGGATTTGAGAACAATTGTTTATGGTACAAGTTATGCTTTTTAAACTTCACGCAAGAGGTTGAACTCAAGTTGGGCAACTAATGTTCATTTGAGTCAGGTGCGACATAAAAGTTTGTTTTGAGCACAAGTTCTTATGAAACTGTGAGATGATATACAAATTTTGAATTCAAACCAAGTTCAAGCAACATCCACATTATTTGATTCATCATCTTCAAGTTACAACATCATTCATAAACCTATGTTCCTCTTGCAAAATTATAAGTTACAAAGAAAATTACACAAACTTTTTTTTATCCTAAACCTATGTTCCTTCATGAGTCTTAAGCTTTCTTCAAAACATCCACCATGCCAAGACTTATCCAAACATCGATCTGCACTATTAGTACATTCCAAACCTTCCCACATACACAACCAAATCCAATGCACAATAAACCGCAACCCTGTCCAAATTAACAAAACAGAAAATTAAGAAAAAGTACCATAACAAAAAAATAGTCAACTTCACAATATCAATTTTGATGTCCAAAATGTCCAAAAACCTTGTATGCCCAAGTGCCAACCCAGGATCTGGTTTGCATATAATACTCTACACCACTACAAACCAGCCTACAAACCTGCTCATAACCAGTCCAAAATACCCTTCCCAAACCTGCAAAGTTCTACTACAAAACAGCCTACAAAAACCAGAAAAAAAGTCAACTACATTCCAAAACATTACACAAATTCAACAAAACATAACCTGCATCCTTAAAGTTACAAAAACAGAACAACAAAGTGTTAAAACTTATCAATGTTCCCTCCTAAATTTTAAGGAAATTTTGTCTATAAAAAAGAGAGAGAGACTACACGATTCAAGCACTACAGATTCTATAAAGAAAAATCAGAGAAAACTCACCTCTCAAGAAGAAAACTCTCTTCTCAATCATAGTAAACAACTCCTCTCTATGAACCAAATTCACCAAAACTACAACAATATTTCATCTCCTTCACTACCGCATCTTCATCACAACTTCAGATCTTCATCTATTTTTTCGCAAACAATAACCATTTCATCAATCATCATTAATTCTTCATCGTATTCGCATCAACCTGTAACAAAATGCAGAACATCAACATCATTATCTTTCTATAGCCAAACATCAACATCATCCTCTTCTTCATTATCAAATGTTCAACATAGAACCATACTCTTCCCTCACCTCCAGCCTCATTAACACACTCAACAACACAAAATCAGACAAGAAGGAAAAAAAAAACTCACACATCAATACAAGCAGCAATCGAATCGAAGAGAGACAAAGAGGACTCAGAGATTGGGTTCAGAAGTGTACCTTTATGGTTGTATCTTCTTCTTCGATAACTTCCATGGCCGACTAGTAGGTGAACTGAATGAAGAGTTTCTTCTTTGCCTTAGTTTTTTTCGTTCTTAGAATGGTGAATCAAGAGGGAGACGATGAGAAATGAGACAGAGAGGTTTGTTGTTCTTTTGTTTAATTTCTCCTTTTCTTTTTTCTGGATCGTATTGAAAAGAAGAGGCGCTGCATCTGTTTCAAAATTAAGGGTTCCAAGAAACCCCTTTCTATTCCCCTAACATAAAATCGGGTTTGGGCTTAATCTTTGGCCCAACCCGTTTCGTAAGTTCATTTTACTTTTAATTGAAACTGTAAGTATAACGAATGAGGCAGCATGGTGCAGTGGTTGTGGTGTTAGTTGCAAGTGTGAGGTACTGGGTTCGAGACCCATGGGGGAAATTTATTTATTTTCTGCATTTTTTGTTTCCTCAACACACCCCTTTTATTTATTTTATTTTTGACTGCATAAAAAATAAGTTTGGGCTTTAACATCAATTATAGCAGCCAATTTCAGATTTTTACTTCACCCCATCATTCTGTTTGACACCCTTTTGTATAATTAGATTAGCCTTGTTTCTTAATTTAGTATTGGTTAGTAAAAGTTAATTAGATAATTAATCATGTCTAGTTATTAGATAAGTTTTGTTATTTAGATTAGTTTAAATTAGAATTAATTTAGTGATTTTAGAATTATTTGTGGTTAGTTTAGAATTATTTTGATATACTTAGAATTTTTATTTAGTTTAGATTTTAAATTTAATTTTTTTTTAACTAAATGATTTCTTATTTTTCTTAGTTTTAAAAATTTGCTTAAAGAATTTTGTGAATAAATCAATTTTGTTAGTTAACATTTTATTCTATTTTTAATATTTGTTTAGTTTATTTCTTCTAATTGTTTTATTTTCTTCATGATAAACAAAAATTCCAAAAAAATAATAGAATAGGTTTTTTTTATTTTCTTTTCGAATTTTCTCACAAACAAAAATACCAAAAATGTTATTTAGAATTTTAATTCTCGAATCTTCGTTTATAGCTTTTATTTGATTTAATTTCCTTACTTGATAAAATCACAAAAAAGAATCTCCCTTTTCTTTTTTCGTGTAATTTACTATTTTCGTATTTTTTCAATTATTGTAACTCTTTACGGTTTGTAATAGTTTAGTTAGGCTTTTACTTCATCCCCATTCATAAATTTGTAACCCCATCCCCGAAGCATTGTAATAGCGTAAATTTTATTTCCCGCACTTTACTTTCTGCACCTATAACTATTCATGTATGTATATATAACTGTATAATAATTAGGCTATATGGAAAGACATAAAATCAATTGCTAGATAACCCTAACCTCAAGATAAAATAACTGAAAACAAAACACTTTTCACACGCGCACCTCGGATAAACATGTCGCCTACGGATAAACACAGTCATGTCCCTCAAATGTGGGACGCTTTAGCAAAGACCCTCAGTTTAAAGATCATAGTCCCTCGATGATCCTTCGATGTTGCCTCGTTAAACAATCTTAGTCCCTTACAATAAATTGCTAAAAAGCGTCCTACAAGTTGCCTTCTATGATTGTATGATGATCAGCGCATGTCCCTCACATCCAACGATAGGGATTCCTACTAACTAATGGTAGGATAGCATTATCTAAAGGAGGAGGAAAAGAACGAAAGACCATTGAGTAGGTAGATTGCTCGTGATCGCTTTCTCACAAACTAAAACAAATTTCACACCTCACACTTTCAAAACAACTACTTTCAAAGCGCTTTATAAACACTCTTGAGGAGTGATACAAGGGTTAATATAAAGCAAATTGCCTTACATTGGCATCTTCAAAACACTTTTTTTCACAAAACAAAACTTTCTTTCAATAAATATTTTCAAAACAAACATTTTGTATACATTCTCAACGATACGAGAATCATTACAAAATTTATGTACTTAGGCATTTTCAAAATATTTTTGAACAAATACAAGCACAAAGCATTTCAAAAAGTAAGCTAGTGATTAAGAGCCCGTAGATAAGTACAGATGAAAAGGGTACTAACACCTTCCCTTTTCATAACTTACCCCCCTTACTCAAAAAAATTCTCAAAAGGTCTTTCCTATTCTTTTCACCCTTTCCTTTATTGGATAAAAGAAAAGTCGGTGGCGACTCTTTCTATCCGCAACATTTACGATAAAACGCAAAACCAAAAGTCAGTTCTCCCACCATATTACATGTGCTATATGAGTAAATTAGGTTATTGGGTGTGAAATAGAATTATTAATTAATTGGTCCTTGGTGATGGTTTAGTATGAGAATGGGATAAGCCCATTAGTGAGAGCAAGAAATAGTAAGGGTTGTTATAAAACAAAGAGAAATAGAATTAGAAAGAAAGAAACAAGAGAAGAGAAGAAAGAGGAAAAGAGGAGAAAAGAGAGAAAAGAGAATGGAAGAAGAAATAACTCTAGAGAATCTACATCCAAGGTAAGGGTGATTTTTTACATGGTTATAGGATTAGATAATAACATGTAACAGGTAGTAGCATGATTTAGGAATTTTGTTCTTCAATTTCTAGGTTTTAACATGTTTAGGTTTTGAATGAGAACCATGAAATTGATGTTGGAAATCATGATACGGTGGGAGAACTGACTTGGGTGTTTTTGTGTTTGATTGCAAATGTTGCGGTTAGCAAGAGTTGCTGCCGACTTTTCTTTTATCCAAAAGGAAAGGTGAAAAAGCACAGGAAAGACCTTTGAGATGTTTTCTTGAGTTCGGGGGGTAGATTATAAAAAGGGAAGGTATTAGCACCTTTTTCATCCATGGTTTTCCATGGTTTCTTAGTTACTTTCTAGATCACTTGCTTTTGTTTGAAATTATGCTTTGTGTGGTTTTTGAAATTATTTAGTAAAGAGGCCATTATTTAGGCAAACTTTTGTAATGATTCGCGTTCGTAAGAATGTATACAAAGGTGTTGATCTTTTTGAAAATGTTTTCAAATTTTGAAAGATGTTTTGAAAGTGTTGGTGTTTGTTTTGAAGATAGCAAGGATGTTTTTCTTTGAAAGTGAGCAAGTAACTAGGAACATTCTAACTACTCAAAAGTCTTTCATTTTTATTTCCTCTTTACTTTGACATTGTTATCTTACCATTTATTTGGTAAGTAACCCTATCTTTGGATGTAAATGGGACAGGCGTGGGTCATCGTATAACCATGATTAGCAATGTTGCAAGTAATCTTAGCATCTTTCTTTAGGGACTAAGATCATTTTGAAAAGGAAACATAGATAGCGTCATCGAGGGACTATGATCTTATATTTTTGCTTGTTTTTGCTAAGATACCTCACATGCGTAATATTGTCATTTTTATAAGGCCACCAAGTGGATTTTACCCTAGGGGTGCTTGTGTGAAACTGTATTGATTTTCATGCTTTGTTTAGTCATTGATTAGGGTTTTCTATTTGTTGATTTTATCTTCTCATACAAACCCTAATTACTAGAATTTATATAAAGCGATAAATTGCGAAAAGTAAAATTACTACGCTATTACATCATTAGGGGAGGGGGTGTACAAATTTACAAATGGGGATTGCAAGAAAATTAAACATAATTATCTATTACAACCATATTGAATATTGTACAAAATTAAAAATAAAATGCAAGAATATAAATGGAAAAAGAAATTATTTTTGTTGTTTTTTATGAAAGGGGTTTTGTCTTGACCTAATTAAAGAAAATGATTAATGAGCAAAAAATTAAACATAAATTAATTAAGAAGGAAGTTAAGTTAAAAAATGTATTTTAGGGTTTTATTTATGAAAAGGTTTTAACTTAATAAAAATAATATGAAAATTAATTAATTAAAATAAACCTAAGTTCTAAATTAATTTTAACTAGAAAATAAAATAAAATAATAATTTAACCTAAGTTTAAAAATTAATTATTTAAGAAAAAAAGAAATTAATTTGTTTTAAGAATTTTTTTTTATCTTTTTGTTTTATAGAGAAAATAAAATATATAAGTATGAATAATAAATAAAATATTTTTTGATTTTTATATGATTTATGAAAAAATAATAATAGTAATAATAATAATAACAATAGTATTAATAACAATAATAAATAAAATAAAAAAATGAAATAAAAATAAAAATAAGTCAGGGAGGTGGATTAGTAATGCAAGAGGTGTTGTGAAGAAAAAAAGAATAGGCCCACGTGAAAGCCCAGGCGCTTCCAAAAAAAGCACAAAAAGTCAGAAAATAGTGAAAAAAATAACAAAAGGTCACGTTGGGGCTTGAATCCATGATCTAAAGGTGACAGGCGCGCGCTTTAACCACTGGGGTGGTGATACATTTGTTAACTTGTGTGAAAGGATAAACATGTAACACAAAACGCACTCTGATTACACTTCATCTTCAACCTCCAGCCAAAGGATATGTAACTCCTTCATCTCTCAACAAAAATGAAAATTTCAAACATGAAAGTTGTGGTATTTCTTCCCACGAATCCAAGCATGTAAATAACTTAAGCTAACAGTCTAAGATGAATGAGAATTTTCCTGGCCCTAATTTAAAACCTACAAATTTCATAAAACTTCAACTCTAAAATTCTCTAAGCTCAGGCCATATAAATGCAAACTATGGATATGTACAGTTTCGAAGCAATTGTATCTACATTTTATCTTCACAAATCAAAATCAAATGATGCTTGTATGAAGAGATAGAAGTTTGAAAACTTACCTCTTGCAGCTGGGGTCGTGTATGGAGTTTGAGCAACTTTGTGATGGCCTGATGATTTATGTAGCTTGCCTGGACCTCCTTGAGTGTGTTCCAACTCCTACTTTGCTTTGAGGATGGCTGAAACTCCCAACTCAAGTCAAGTTGCAAGCTTCAAATTTGGAAATGGTGGATAGTGATGGAGGAGTTACAGTCAAGAAACAGGGGTCTGGATCACTTTGATATGATGTATATTAAGTGTTTGGATAGTTAAAACTCAATACGCACGAGTGGATTTGGAGATGGCTATGTGAGGTTC